GAAAAGAGCAAAAGCAACTGGAAGAATGTTGCGATTGCCATCTTGGACAACTACCAATAATAAAACTTGCTTGTATTTTCCATACAAGAAAGTCTCGTCGATCTGGACCACAGGCTTGCAGTATTTGACAACATTAACACATTGTGGGTAACTCTAAAAAACCCAATAGAATTGGCTTCGATCGCGAAGAACTCGATCATTATGGTATGCATAGGAGGTTTCGAAGTCCACAATTATCCTAGGATTCAACGTCCGCGCCAGCCTAAACCAACATGGAAGTTCGTTGTAAGATGCATCCCATTCTCCATGAAGTTTGACAATGGAATTTTGTTTTGCCAACCAATCTTTTTTATAGGAGACAATGTACCCATACTGCGATTGTATAGCTGAAATCAACACTGCAACAGTTATATGAGAGCTTGTTTTTACCATAGGCATGATGGCTTGGCATATCATTTCAGAGTCCAAGTTAGGATGATCTTGGTTGACCCCTCCAGCACAACATGTGTGAGGACCGTTGTATACTGTTAGTTCCCATATGTTGTTTTTCCTCTTCATTTTTGATACGTGAACCATCCAATTGCATCCGTTTTCACGTCAGGCACAGTAACATACATATTTTTTGGTCGTGGATCGGTTGACTCTGGACTGAACAGAATTACGGATATTGTAATTTTTTATAGCCATCACCACTTCTTTTTGCTTGAAAACTACATGCCTAAAGATAACTCACCATTATTTATTGATGAGTAATATCCATAGTCACCGAGATGAGGTATATCCACAAATTTTGGCCCGTACATTGCACCATAATCAGTTTCATACATATGTGCAGGAGGGTCAGTTTGTGCCACATTTCCTGGAACTTCATCATCATCGGAGTTGAATTGCGGTGATTTTGGGTGAATGAATAGTCCAGTCTCAACACCATCCGCACTAGGCTCACGAAGCGGTTCTTCTGGTGGATATGATGGTTCCTCCATGCGCTCCATATTTAGGTCGAAGAACCTACTACTTGCACGCCTTCCCATTGAACTAGAAGGCATATCGACATTGAGATCGAAAAAGCTCGCAGTCGAATGCCTCCCCCTGGAGCTTGAAGCCATCGTGTCAAATGGAAACTGCATAGATGGTTGCGTTGATGGCATCTCTATATTAAGGTTAAACGGATTTGCAGATGAATGCATTCCCCTTGAACTGGACGCGATGTTGCCATACGGATTGTTCGTCGACCCATCTCGACACATATCATAAGGAGTTGCAGATGAATGTCTCCCCATAATGGGAGCTTAATGATTGACCCCGAACGACACACACTTAAATAAAATTTGCATACATCTTAATATCGGCGTCTGAATAATTACTTTGAGCTTCAACATCATTTCAACATCATCATTGTTCAAAAGTTCAAACGCTGTATAAGTTAATGACTACAATGATGTTGGAAATCTGTACTGCAACGACGACATTCTTCTATTACTTCCAACATGAATCTTCCTCGAAATCTTCGTTATCAGCTCCTCAAGAGTTATGTTTCTCTTCAATGATATTTTAACACGCTCATTGATACGAAAACAACGCTGGTTTCATCTTCTCGAATTTCACCATCATAATAAACAATAGCTGAAAGTCGCACCATTCTTTGAGTTTAAAAGTGCGACAATATTATATTGTAAAAAAATTAAAACAATGCTGATTAAATAAATAATATATGAACGAAAATATAACATAATAAAAATTTTACACATAAACGTAAATAATTTAAATAATATAATTTTATATTATTATCTGTACCGAAAACTATTTCGACGTATATTCCCGCTTTCTAATTTTACAAACACAGAAATTAATTGACAACAATTAATATAATATTTTTTCAAATAATCATAATAAACAATAAATATAATAAAAAAATTATCACAAAATTACCTTATAACAAAAAATCGCACGAACTTCTGAATCAAATATAAGACAATTGTCAGAATTATTAACTGGTTGACGGAATTGTTGTATTAATTTATAAGTTGAGAGGAGAGATGTGAGGAAATTAACCGGGGGAGAAGGATATTTATAACCGAGAAAAGTTGCTATAATTATACAAGGCGCGATACCTGCACCGCGCCTTATATAATTTTATCAGTTAAAAGTATGGCGCGGCCCCTGCCTCGCGCTATATATAATTATGTCAGAGAATTAAAGGTAAGGCGCGGCCCCTGACCCGCGCTATACCCTACGTGGCGTAAGGCGCGCTCCAGGGGTCGTGCTATACCTACGTGTATTCCATGTCAGCATATAGAGCGGTTCAGGGGGTGCGCCTTATCCCACGTGGCGCCAAATCAACATATACTCGGTGCAGAGGGCGCGCTTTACTGCAAAGGGTGTTAGATCGGGAAATATAGTTTGACCGGTGTTAGATCGATAAATATACCGGTCACCGGTGATTTTTCGAGAAAAACGCCGACTATTTTTTGTGTCAATGGTTATAGGAAAATATCTTAATTATAATTTTTATATTATATTTGTAAATCTTTATTGTAATTCTAGATCATTTCTATTTTTAACCAAAACTAATGGCTTTCTGCCAAAAAATAATAATTAATACACATTTCCATACAAAAATAATTAGTTCATTAGATACAAGTCGCAAATAAACTAATAGTTATAATCAATATTTTTATATGCACAACAAAGTTTAAATTAGAATAATATTTATAATTAGAAGTAAAATTAATTTAGTAGTACATAAATTTAATTTGAGTTGGACTCAAACCTTAGTCAAAATAACACACTTTCTTAATGAATTCCCTGGTTGCTTGTCTTAACTAAATTAATCTTATCATAATCTTGCAAATAATCATTAATATTTTGGATGAATCTGCTATGCTCAACGAGTACCACCGAGTATCAATAACGGTAAACATCACTGAGCACTATTCATTTAATTTATACAAATTTAAAATTTTAAAGGAGTCAATATATAACTATAAATTAATTAAAAATTTAAAGGTAAATTATTTAAAATAAAATATTAATTACATTATTTTTCATAATTTTTTTAACAATAATTGGATCAAATATCAACCCCTAAATTAAAAAATGCTAAATATTTTTTCTTTGCTTAAATAATTTACCTTTAGATTTTTAATTAATTTATAAGTATATATTGAGTCTTTTAGAATTTTAATTTTTTATAAATTAAATTAATGACGCTCAACAGTGTTCATCGTTAGTTGTACTTAATTGTGCTCGTCGAGCATCGAATAAATTTTCAATTTTATGTTTTGAAAATCCGTAATTATTATAATTAAAAAAGCGAATCGTTGCATAACTAACAAAACTTCCTATGTGTTCAAAAAAGAAAGGAAGTGCTACTTTCAATTGAATTAAAACCAACATGTCAAGGCAAATTGCTCTTCATTATTACCTTTATTTTATCATTTTGCAACACGCCATATTTCTTTTTATCTTTATTTGAATTGCTTAAGAAAAAAATCCGATAGAAAAAAATCTAATAGTTATGTTGTACGACAGCCTAATATAAGACTCAAGAAAGACGCTACAAGAAATATTAATATATTTTTAATATTTTTGGTAAAACGCTACCTAAAATGTTATTTTTTTACCGAAAATATTAATTTCGCTACCTAAAATGAATATTTCCAATAGAAAAAATAACATGTTAGGTATCATCCGATATTAATAATTTCGGTAGAAAAAATAACATTTTAGATAGTGCTTTACCGGAAATGTTAAAAAAATATTAATATTTTCGATAACGTATTTTCTTAGCCTTATAAAAATCTAAGTAGAACTATTTTTCTTTTTTATGTGGTAAACATTATCAATGTTTCATAATAATTAAGTTGTTTTTATTCATGAGAATAATATGCTAATTTATGTTGGTAAAGCGCCCATCACAAAACTTTACAAATTCGGAAAAATAAAGAGAAAAGAAAACATATATACATATGAGAAAAAAACATATAGATCGTTTTATTTTATAAATGATAAATATGAGAAAATAAATAAATAATTATAGTATTTAAATTTTTTAAGTATATATAAATTGACTAAGCGTTGATAGGTTCACACCAAGGACGGATCGTTATAGGAGCTAGAGAGTACCTCGATATCTCAAAATTTGATAAATATATATATATATATATATATATATATATATATATATATTAAAATGATGTGATCATTTTATTTTTTTAATTAAATTCCTCTTATTTGAAGAAAAAACATACTAAGTTTTTTTTTTGAAAATTATTGAAACTCTTTTTCTAAATCTTAATTAAAATAAAAATTCAAGTAAATCTATTCAAATTATCTTGTCAAAATTCATCACTAATTCACACTATCATATGAAGAGAAAATAACGAGAAAATGAAAAATTGTTAAAGATACATCGGATCCACAAATATGAATATATACGTTAAAATTGTTGGCGAAACCCTAGTCTTAAAATGATTAATGTTTGAAATTATTATTAATTAGCAGGTTATGTTATTCTCCCAGGCATGCACATGCATCGTTTTCACACTAAAGAGTGTGTTACATGCAAATATTGTAATGAAATATCAGGTACCCATCAATTGAGAAGAGGGGTGTGTCTACTGTTCGGTTTGTTTAAATTTTTAAATTTTATTAATTTTTAATTTTTTATATTAATTTTTGAGATTTATATTTTATTTTTAGAAATTTCAAATATTATTTGATAAATTTTTAAAATCATTTTTATAAATATTTTAAAAAATATTATTTTTTTCAAATAAATATAAAGACAATTAATGATTCACATATCATATTTTAAAGTTATTTTACTATTTTTATTTTTTAAGTATCATATATATGAGTATAGAAATATACATGAAAGTTTAGCCTTTTATATTTATTAAATAAAAAGTGGGGTCCATCTTAAATGTTACGTGTTTCCATTTTCTTATTTAATAACCATCTCTCCCTACTCTCCTTTCACTCTCAATCTGATCTCTTTTGCTATTTTCCCTCTTCTTCACTTATCCTTCTATCTGTATCATCATCTCCAAGGAAGAGCATATAAATTAAAGCAGGAGTAAGCTTTTTTGTGTTGAAAGTGCAAGTATCAAATTCTAGTGAGAGTCTGGGCAGTCCTTCATATTCCTACTATACATATAGAGCATGAAGGAGAGTGGGAGGAAACAGGGCGCAGCATCGCCATGCGCAGCATGCAAGCTTCTAAGGAGAAGGTGTGCCCAAGACTGTGTTTTTGCTCCTTATTTTCCTGCAGATGAGCCCCACAAGTTCGCTAATGTGCACAAGGTCTTTGGTGCTAGCAACGTCAACAAGATGCTCCAGGTTCCATTACCCACCGTTTTACTTTATTCAAAAACCCTTAGCCTTAGGGAACTCCATTATCAATATTCCCATTTCCCACCCAAGCTTTAGCTTGGTGGCAATCATTATCCATATATAAAAGTTTTTTTATATAAGAAGATTGTATGTTAATAGTTGTGTCTAAATATATGTATTTAAAACCAAAAATCATAGAGTAACATCAAGCATGAACTCAGGATCTAAACTCGGTTACATTAATGAACTTCAAATCACATTATTAATGACACTCGAGGAACAAGTTTATTTATTAAAGTGTATTGAATAGTAGTTTTTGTTTGCTTTTTCTTCTTCTTCCTGCTTAAATGTCTAAGGGCTGTTCGCGGATCACGTGAAGATGTTTTCTAGGTGCTTTTCTCAGTGAAATTACATAATATTCCTTTTTGACCAGTTCTTTTTACAGCTTAAAATAGTATACATGACTAAACCCCCAAATATGAAAATTGTCTTTTCACCGAAGAGATCCATTCAGATTAAAATAATAATTATTGAAGACTTAAGCCACCAAAATCAAACACAATATATTTATATGTTAGTTTAACTTCAAAAGTGAGATACTTTGGAGACTTTTGACAAATTCACTGGCGCATAGAAAACGATGCAAGAAAAGATGTTAAAATGATATCACCATTAGCTCATATCACCTTGGGTTTTTACCCAAGGGCCTTTACTTGGGCCCTGCAGGCTAACTGAACTAAGCTATCGAACTTGCAGGACTTACCGGTGCACCAACGGGGTGACGCTGTTAGTAGCATGGTGTACGAGGCCAACGCCAGGGTACGTGACCCGGTTTATGGGTGTGTCGGAGCCATATCATCACTACAACAACAAATAGACACCCTTCAAACTCAATTGGCACTGGCACAGGCAGAGGCGATGCACCTCCGGGTGAGGCAGACTGTGCCGTTTTCAAATCATGGGTTCGGCCCTGCAAGCCCAAGTCATAGTGGGTCACCCTCATCTAGGCTCATGGGTTCACAAGCCAAGCCTATTTTTGACATGGATATGGTACTTGACCAGGCTAGCTTGGGAGAGTCCATGTGGTCATGCTAGCTTAAGTATATTACATATATAGGCTACATTTTTGTCACCCTATGCTTTATTTCCCTCTTATTATAATCCCTAAATTATCTTATATACAACAATTTGCGTAGACAAAAAGAGAGGTGGTGGCGAAAGCGGTGGCGCTGTGGCGGCTATTGTGTGTTGAGGTCATTTGGCTTTGGTTTGAAAATGGTGTTTGTCATTAACAATATATAATGTGCTTGTATAATTTTCATGATTTAAATTCGAGTTTAAACAATTGCGTTTATAATACATGCACGTTAATAAAATTTATATATAATCTCATAGAATGAAGATAATAAAGACAGACATGGAAAGAAAATCAGATCCAAATGTTTAACGTTAGCATTACATAAAGATTGCAGAAAAACTTGAAACACACATATATACGTACAATAATTTTACCAATACGCCTCTTTTTCCATAAATATTAAGTCTAAAGGGCTTCCATCTTCCTTCCCATCGTAGTTGTTGTCCCATTCAATCTCCGTATACCTAGCACAAATCAGATGAAAGCAAATCAAACTGTCATACAGTCAAATGATTTGTTTATGCATTCAATTACAGTAAACATATAAAATGAATGTTTATAACATACCCGTTAGTTTTATTACATGATTTTCACAAGAAAATAAGAAAACCCTCGTACTATCAAACAATATTTTGCCACGATTATAATGATATTCTTGTTACAAAGACATTAATAAAAAATTTTGAAGGTTGAAAGAGAAGAGATGTAGACCTGGGGAGATTAGACGTCCTTGACAACAAGGTCACCATTGACGAGCTCTCTGTAGGCAGCGACAGGCCAAATAAAGCCTCTGAAGATGAGGCTGGTAGCCAAAGGCACATCGATGATGATCTCCTTCATGGCTGGCTTCTTTTCATCGCTTATAGCAATGAGATAGCTTCTTCCGACCCACCCGATCCATCCAGCGATGTACAAGAACAACAGTCCGGGAGTGATGAACTCACCCCAGTGCCTCTGGTCGCCGCTCACTATCAAATGAGGCAACCCATCGGAGCCGCAAAGTAGGCCGTACTTGCCGTAGTTGTCGAACCGTCTCTTGGTTTTCTCGATGGTTGCTTTGATGGCGAGAGCTGGTGCGCTGTCGGGGGCGTAAAGCTTCAACGACGACTCCAGCTTCTTGATCTGCTGCTTCTCGCGCTTGGCGAATTGCTTGGACTCTTTGCATGGAGTGAGCCCCGAAATGTCTGCTACAGCGGGGAGTGGAGCCGAAAGAAGAATGGAAGAAAGAGCGAGAGCGGCTGAGAAGGCTTGGAGAGGTGAAGCCGATTTGTCGGATGAGCATACGATTAATGATCTTGATGAAACCTTGGGGGTAACTTGGGAGTTCAGCTTTGGCTTCAGAAGAGATTTTGAGAGATTAGTTGGGATTGTAAGAGACATCTTGGGAGTCTTCTTCTTTGTTTCCTTTTTCCTTTTCTGGTATTTTCTTGTTGACGATGAAGGAAGAGAGAAAGGGTGGGATGAGACTTAGAACTTTCGATTCGGGTAGCGGAGGGACTAATGGTGGGAAGAAGGATAAGAAAGCTGAGATGGATGGTTGTGATTGGCTAACTGCTGACTTGTGAGTTTCGGATTCTCTTACATCCTGATTATTTTGTCCAAAATTTAAGTATTTCGTGTTTGAACATGAGCCAGCCGTTACTGACTAGTGCATTGCAAATATGGATGTCATGGATCCGAGGGTTTTTATCTGAATATTAGGATCTGTTTGTTTGTCGTAAAATCAATTACGTAATTATTTTTTTCGAAATTTAGTGTTTATTTCATATAATTCATTTTTTAAAAAATATTTTTTCGTGTTTGTTTTACGTAATTTGTTTTTCGAAAAATGTTTTCCGTGTTTGTTTTACGTAATTCATTTTCCGGAATGTAATTCATTTTCCTATTAACAGAATTTCCTTTATGTTTTTTGTAAAATGACTTACGGATTTATTTTCCGTAAGTCATTTTTTGAACTTTTCACTTTAAAGTAAAAATATTCAAAATAATTTTATTTTATGAATTTAATATTAATAAAATATTTTAATATCATTTTCATCAAAATATTATTTATTAAAATATTTAAAATATATTTATTAATATTTATAATAATATAATATTATATTTTTAATATTATATAAAATAATCAATTATATTATAATAATATAATAAGATATTATATTTTTATTTTAATAATATATAATTTTTTATATATTAATAATGAATAATATTATTTATATATTTAAATAATATTTTAGTAAAGATATTTAAAATATACTAATTAATATTTTTAAAATATAATATAACACTATTACTTTAATAAATAATTAATATAATTTATAATATTTTATTTCACTAAAATATACCAATATTAATATTTTTATTAATAAAACTATAAAAATAATATTTAATAATAAATAAATTATTTTAATATTTTATAATAATAATATTAAGTTTTATGATAAATAATATTATTTATTATATTTAATATTTGTAATAAATAATTTTTAAAAAACCCTTCAACCAATGGAAAAAATGTTTAAATAACATCTTCCAAACATCATAAAACGTTTTCCAGAAATGTAATTTATTTTCCAGAATTCAAATTCCAGTAATTCATTTTTCAGTAATTCAAATTCAGTAATTCAAATTACAGTAATTCATTTTCCGGAAAACCAATTACAGCCAAACAAACATACCCTTATATTTCATCTAGATTTAAAGAGATTTTTTTCTATCTAAATTTTCACACGGATATGCAAACAAAATATATCTAAATGTCACACAATTATAAGCAACAAAAACACAAACAATCAACTTTGTCTACAATAAAAAAACAGAGGAACTAGATATTTTTTTAAAAAGTATCCTAGATATAAAATTCATCTTGGACCCCGTCAAACACTAGCCAAGTTGTCAGACCTGGTAGGTGCACCATAAATCTGGGGGTTATTACCTAGTCTCGCTTTACTAGCTCTTCATAGAAGTGATATCCCAGACCAAGTAATATGCATAGGATAAGTAGTGGCAGAGAGATGACTACAACCAAACCCATCTTTGCTTTCCAAGTTTCCCAATGATTTATCTTTGTATAGAGGAGATCCAATATATATTTACAAGGAAGTTTGTTTGGAGGTTCTTAAACGAACAGAAGGCTCAGATTCTGTCAAGGACAGAATGGAGGGGACTTTTAACGTGTTTGCTGTATGCACCTTAACGTTAAAGCCGCCACCGCTAACCTTTTTCAATCCAATGGAATTTTTGGGAATTTCCAGTGCAGAAATGCTGAGATTGGTACTCGTGATCAGCCTTTGTTTGCCTAATCACTACGTTCCGATTCTCCTGGGATGTTACTTTAGACTGTAGACTAGTTTAACATTATAATTATAGTGTTGTCTCCTTCTCTCCTCCGGCAAAGCTTCTTCTCCAGTTAAGCTAAATTTAGTATTAGTATTATACTTTTTTTTTTCCTTTTTAGATGCAAGGCATGTCAATATTTGAAACAAAAGTTGCTACTTACCATAAACCGTAGGTGGAACGGACTGGGTATCATTATACAGAACATATATATGATATAAAGATAATAATTAACATACAATACTATAAATGAATCTTAAATGATATATACAGTATATTAATACTGTTAGTACATGTGAGCCTCTGATCCATGCGAACAGACGATACTTATGCGGAGTGTTATCCGCGAGTAGGGATGGCAAACGGATACAGTTTCGTGGATTCCGCACCGCATCCGTTCCAATTGGAGCGGGGATGGGTATAATTTTAGCGGGTAGTGGGCGGGTGTGGATTTATAAAGTGGTACCCGTCGTGGGTGGTGGGCGGGTAATGGGTTTGAGACATTACCCGCCCCGCATCCGCCCGCCCCGCATCCGCCCGTCCAGCTAAATATCTATTAAATTTTGGACCATTATGAATTTAGGTGTAATTTTAGAGACTAATTTATAAATTTTAATATTATATAATATATAACATATAATTTAACTAAATATTAAGGATATTTAGTCTTTAATCTGGTATTTAATTAGGGAAATATTCGGCTCTTTGATTAAACCCATAATCCCACTAACCACGTCACTTTCCATGTTCTTTAGCCCATGCTGCCCATCCAAACACAAATTAACCGTACTATAAGCATTAACATCAAAAGCAGCAGTTTCCATGTTCTTTAGCCCCTTAAAACCCATATTAGGCGCACTATGAGCATTAACATCGAAAGCAACACAACAATCCAGCTCTGCGACTACATGCTCCCTACAATATGTCTCCATAACATTCGTAGAGCCACTCCTCTGACAAATTGAAGCATGTGCTGCTACCCCATCACGAACTGTCTGCGAACCAACTCCAACATCTCATTAGTTTGTTGTCAGACGGGTCTAGATGGGTATGTCGCTAGTGGATAGTGGGTGTGGGGATGAATTTGAAAATGTACCCGCGTGGACGGGTGTGGATTTGAAAATTTGTACTCATCATGGGTGGTGGACGGGTGATAGATTGAAAAATAGTAGGTGGGTATGGGATGGGGGAAGGGGTATCCGCACCCGACCCGCCCGTTTGTCATCCCTATCTGCGAGCAATCATCAACACACGTGTGACGTGTTGATCACTTACGATTTCCATAAGCTCATTTTACGTACAATCACTTGTCATCACGTGTTCATTCACGTGATCTCTGTTTGATGACTAATTAGTTTATGTCATTATTTATCACGTTTAATCAATATCAATGCCACGGTAACTTTCTATCAAAATTTATCAAAAATAACATACATAGTCATGTAATATAGAATAAGAGCACAAACGATCCTCTTCATAAAAAATGAAAAATCAGACCAATTTCATCAGAACCTCCAAAATCATTGCTCCAATCATCATTTGACCATCTCTATAACTATTGTTTACTTTACCAGTCAAGAAATAAAGATAATTTTAAATAATATTATATATCCAATATGATTGACAAGTACCATTCTGGGATTATGAATAAACAAACTGTTGTGGAGATTTAAAACATCAATGTGATTATAATGTAGTCGACGTGCAGAAGTGTTTAACGGGCCTGATTAGAAGTCATGCGGACTCTGCTGCCGCCTAATATCCAGACTTTTTATTTTCTAATTCAAACAATATTAAAATTCTCTAACTTAAGAGACCTAAC